TTGCCAGTTTTCCTCATGATGCCAACAGTGTGGGTTTAAATCCCACATCGCCTGAGGTTACCACTAATGACTCTCCCCTTTCAACCTCTCTGCTGACATGAGATGTGGTGTCCCTCAGGTTAAAACATCAGCAGCTTTGCCTCCCTAATAAGAAAGCAGCCCTGTGACCCGGAATGTCTCACAAAGTTTCAGACTTTGTGATATTGTATCCCTGGGATGCAAAAGGCACGTTTTATACTCTATTAAATGTGTTATATATGTCAGTTGTCCTGGTAGGAAGAGGAAGATTCCTTGTACATATCACACCAAATAAAACTCAATCTTTACAATGGTGGGCACTTAACCCAGAATTTCGAGCGCTATGCGCAGCATTGCTTATGACTGCGCAGGCTCAGTATGTTCCCGAGTGCCCACAGTGTAGAGCATGCATATTGGGAGTGATCCTGAGAAGCCGTTGCTTTTTACCTCGGCTCCACAAAAGGTAACAATGTGGCGGATCAGAGGAGGCGATGGACCGGGCGGTTAGATGGGGAGGCTTTCTAAACACTTCGTGGATGCGGCAGACCCCGCATAAAGAAACTGTTTGCCCCCGTTTTACAAAACGGGACAAATCGAGTCTCCTTCTTAACGGCAGGCCACGGGTAACGGCCGCCATCTTCGTAGGAGGCAAAGGGCAGCAGGGCGCATGTGCGGTCATTCTGGGCCAGGAGAGAGGATGTTGTGAATGTCTTTGCTGGACTGATAGGAATGGAGTTTATAAACGCCTTTTACTGGGAGTCAGGAGGGCAGCATTTACACACAGCAAACTCCAAATCAAATAAATATTTGCTTCTTCTGAAATTTTGTCCCAGACTGACTGAGATGGCTTTTGTAAATTTTTTTTACAGCATGTTAGAAGAGGATTTGCAGATCGAAAACCCAAACCAAATGATACACCAAGATCTAAGTGAGCCACTTTATTCATTCAGTACTGGATATTAATGGCCTTTGAATGTAAGTATTGAGTAAAATAAAAATAACATAAAATTCCTTCCTTACATCTCCCAATAACTATTGCCCAATATCTGTGTGTCTCATAGTTTTACTATCAGTAAAGAGGAACAGCTGCTCTTTATCTACCTTATTTAACCCTATCATGAATCTAGACACTTTATCAAATCTCATCGCAGCCTCCTTTGTTGTGTGCAGAGCAACTTCAGTTTTCTCCAACCTGACCTTACAACTAATATCCCTCAGTTCTTGAGCCATTCCGATTCATCTACTTTCAAATCTCTCCTCAGACCCTCACATCCTTTGTGGAGATCACCTGTTTGTGCAGACCCAAATGCTCTGTGTTCAAGTGGGTGATGTTATCACACACGGGCAATTGCTCAGTGACATCACGCTGATTCCTGGGTATTTCCTGAACTGTAAGTTTGCTCTGATTTGAGTGCTTCTGATATCTTTTGAGCCACAGATTCCGCATTTGATTTTAAAATGTTATTGGTTTCTGTGAGATCTTCCGTGTTCTTCTAAACGCCAGTGAATTTCATCCTATCTGATCCATTCTGATCTAAAACGTCAGTCCTGCCACTCCAGGAATCAGTCTGGTAAACGTTAATTGGAGCACCTTCATAGCCAGAACAGCCTTAGTCAGATACGTGTTCCAAAACTGCACACAATGTTCCAGGTGTAGTCTCAAAAGACCCTGTACACTTTCAGCAAGATATCCCTGTTCCTGTTCTTATTTCCTCTCGCTATGCAGGCCAACCTAGCATTTGCCGTCTTCATTTCCTGCCTCTGCCTGCATGCTTGCTTTCAGTGACTTGTGTGCAAGGACAAACAGATCTAATTTCTCGTTTCTCGTTCCCCTTTTGTAAATTCATGCTGACTGACTACATCCAATCTGTCACTGTTTTCTAATGTTAACTAACCGGTCTATAAGTTAATGTTTTCTCTCTACCACCTTTTTAACACAGTGGAGTTACATTAGCTCCTTTCCAATTATGGGAACTATTCCAGAGTCTATAGCAGTATGAAAGATAATCATTAATTTCCTTAATTTAGATTCAAGCTCCTTGTTTCAAAATGTATCCATTATCTCTCAGGCCACTTTAAGTAGTCTGGGCTGTAGAATACCAGGTGCTGGGATATGTTGGCTTTTAATCCCATCAATTTTCCCCAGCATCATTTCCCTATTAATACTGATTTCCTTTACTTGCTCTCGTGTTCCCAACCTTTTTGGGGATATTATATATCTCGTTGTTTGTGATGACAGAACCAAAATATGTAGTTAATTGGTCTATCCATCTCTTTATTCCACATTATAACTTCCCCTGTTTCTGATTGTAAGGGACTTGTTTTCATTATTTTTTTTTCCTCTTCATATCCCTTTAGGAGCTTTTCCAATTAGTTTATATGTTCCCCACAAGCTTACCTTTTGACTTTATTTTCCCCTTCTTAACCAATCCCTTAGTCCTCTTTTGCTGAAATCTGAACTGCACCCAGTCTTCAGGTCAGCTGCTCTTTTTTAGCTAATTTGTATGCCTCTTCCTTGGATCCAGGACTATCCCTAATATCCCTTGTCAGCTATGACAGGATCACCTTTCCCATTTTATTTTGTGCCAGACTGGAATGAACAACAGTTGCAGTTCCTCCAAGTGCTCTTTAAATGTTTGTCATCCCTTTAAGTTTATGTTCCCCAAGTTATTGTACCCTGCGTGCATGTGCCTCATACCAATGTAATTACCTCTATTTAGACTTTGGCCCCGACTCTCAGAATCAACACTGTCACTCTCCATCATAATGAACAGGTCTATCATGAAGAGGTTTTCACTCTTCCACAAGGGACGTTTCACAGCTAGATTGCCAATTAATCCATTTTCATTACACAATTAAAATTTTGAAATAAAGTTGCTGTAGTCCCAGAAGACGGTAGGACTGCCCTCTCACTTGAGAGAGAGCAAGAGAGACACGACTAATGGTGCTTTAACCTCAGGGTTACCACGCCTCAGGAAATGGGCAAGGTTAAGATGGTGGGACCTTCATGTTGACCTCAGCTGGTACAGGAATTGAGCACGTGCTGCTGGCATCAATCTGCGTCACCAACCAGCTGTCCAGCCAACTGAGCTAACCCACCCCTGACCATTACACATTACACCATTGAGGATTATCTGTCCTCCCTTTGGCTCCTCAATTTGTCAATCC